AAATAATGTAGGTCTTTAAACCAAAGTTATTAAAAGAAACCTGAATTTTAAAATTTCCCGAGGACTGCCGTCTATTTCATTGAAAATAATGTAGGTCTTTAAACCAAAGTTATTAAAAGAAACCTGAATTTTAAAATTTCCCGAGGACTGCCGTCTATTTCATTGAAAATAATGTAGGTCTTTAAACCAAAGCTGTTAAAAGAAACCTGATTTTTAAAATTTCCCGAGGACTGCCGTCTTTTTCATTGAAAATAATGTAGGTCTTTAAACCAAAGTTATTAAAAGAAACCTGAATTTTAAAATTTCCCGAGGACTGCCGTCTATTTCATTAAAAATAATGTAGGTCTTTAAACCAAAGTTATTAAAAGAAACCTGAATTTTAAAATTTCCCGAGGACTGCCGTCTATTTCATTAAAAATAATGTAGGTCTTTAAACCAAAGTTATTAAAAGAAACCTGAATTTTAAAATTTTCCGAGGACTGCCGTCTATTTCATTGAAAATAATGTAGATCTTTAAACCAAAGTTATTAAAAGAAACCTGAATTTTAAAATTTCCCGAGGACTGCCGTCTATTTCATTGAAAATAATGTAGGTCTTTAAACCAAAGCTGTTAAAAGAAACCTGATTTTTAAAATTTCCCGAGGACTGCCGTCTTTTTCATTGAAAATAATGTAGGTCTTTAAACCAAAGTTATTAAAAGAAACCTGAATTTTAAAATTTCCCGAGGACTGCCGTCTATTTCATTAAAAATAATGTAGGTCTTTAAACCAAAGTTATTAAAAGAAACCTGAATTTTAAAATTTCCCGAGGACTGCCGTCTATTTCATTGAAAATAATGTTGGTCTTTAAACCAAAGTTATTAATAGAAACCTGAATTTTAAATTTTTCGGAGGACTGCCGTCTGTTTCATCTATTATTTAATTTCTTTTTTTTTTTGCCTTAACCACAATCATTAAAATTATCTTGAATTTTAAAATATTAAAAAATCTTTGCAGTTGATTGCTGCAGGAACATTCGAAACTTCTTTGCTAATCGAATCGACTTCATAAGGCGTTCGACCTAGCTTAATGTATACTTTTAAAAAGGCAGTTTCTTTTTATTCCATATAAAATTAAATTCAAAATTAAATTTGTCCATACACATGATTTTTTTTAATTTTAACAATAATAGATTTCAAACAACCAAATTCTTATTTTAAATCATTCCGATTTTGTGACAACAAACGGTTACCATACAAACCGTTAAAACCAAAAATGAAATAAATTTTTAAAAATCTCATTGTTGGATTTTCCAAACCGCAGAAAAGAATCACTTCTGTTTGACTCTTCGTTAAAGATTCTTCCTTCCTCGCTCAAGAAAATGGGAAACTCGCAGAGCAAATCGACTCTCGTGCTGCAGAACGACGGCCTGGTGCCCCAGCTGGACAAAACCAGCGTCCCGGAGGCCAAGTGTCCCACCATCATCTTCCGGCCGGCCGAGGAAACCGAGTCGCTCAAACTGCTCTCCCCTGACGAGCAACTGAATGTGGCCCTGGCACCCTTCCAGCGTCTCCTGACCAGTGAGCCGCCTCCGGACAGCCCCGAGGAGCAAGTGGAGCTGCTCAAGTGCATGAGGGCCAACAAGGGCAACAGCCTTCAGTGCACAAAGGAGATTCACGACTTTGTCGGTTTCGTTAACAAACTCCCCCTGTGCACCCCGTCCGGACAGTGAAACCCGGCAGTGCAAAATTGTTTTCATTTCATTAAATAAACAATTCTTTAAGTGACTTTAATTTGATTTCTTTTAACTCGGACCACCTAAGAACCAAATTAATACGTTTTTCAGCTACTGCAGTTGTGCGAGTGAAAACATTTAAATTTTTCATTGGTATTCTTAATTCTTAGACGCGGTTATTAATATTAGAACAACATGCAGCCATGCAGTAACATCATTTAACTTATTTCAAGGATCTAAAAGTTCTTAAAATTGTACTTAAATAAAGAGTAAAATTGGACGATCTTAAAAGTTAATTGTAATTAAAAAACCAATAATTGTATCGTTATTTAAAAGAGATGAAATATTGAAAATTAATCAGTATAAAATAAATCAAACCAAAAAAGTCGTTATAATTATGCCTGAGATTCATAAATGCGAGATAAAAAAAACTGAAAATTGTATAAAAATACTAACTGCAACAAAAATATGATTATCCATAATAATCAACGCTAAAATTTTTAGCCTTGAATTTTTATCAAAAAGTAAACGTTCATTGTTAATTTATTTTTCTTCTTTTCATTTTTGTTTCCAACAGAGATCGCCTAAAGAATAAACACGTTTAATCTTGTAGCCATATTTAAAAAAAATTGCTCGCTGCATTTGGCTTGTATTATTATGCAGTAAATAAATTTTTTTAGATGGGATATATTATATGGAGCACGCCATATTGTAAAAATAGAACTAATATAATCAAATAAACAACAATAATAAATTATAATTAAACACATATTTCCGTGTTTAATTAAAATCAGTTATATTATGCATTTTTTTTAAATATAAAATATAAATAACACATATGATAAAAAAAAATATAATCCGGAAAAATAAAAAAAAACCCTAATTAACGCTTCTGCAAATGTAGTATTGCTTTTTCCTAAAAAAAATTGGGAAAAAAATAATTTCAAACTATTCTCAAAAGAGTTTTGTTACTTACAAGGTATGCTCCCGAGATGACACACCCCGATTTCAATGAAAATTGGTGCACAACTTCTACTACCCATTGGTACCCCAGAACGGTCATTAATTTTTGCCCAATTTTCCTTGTTTAATTTTTGCCATTTAAACTCCATGTAATTTGAATTACATTGGAGAAATCAGATGTAGGCAACTTATATACACAGAGGACGCTTTTGTTGCCTACATCTGATCGTTTTTAACATGCGTTTTAATGGAAACTACCCTCCCTTGTGAAATTGGGCAACTTTTGATAGCCATTCCAGAACACCCAAGGGTAGTGCAAGTTGCATACCAACTTTCAACAAAATCGGCGTGTGTCATCTCGGGAGCATACCTTGTTAATGATTACTGGAAAAAAAGGAATAAAATTAAAATTTGTATTTTTCCAATGAAATTCTATAAAAAATATGATTTTTTTCTGAGATAGCAGGAGATAGCCAGTCAATTCAACATGTATTCAGTATTCATCAGGTATGAATAAATTTTCATACAATAATTCTCTACCATTTTACTTGAAAATAGCTAGAAATCCAATGACACTCTTTACGCTTAACACTGACCACACTAACACATAACTCGTTGTAGCATTTAACTTGTGATTTCTTAAGAGCTGAGAATTTTATATGAAAATTTATTTTCATACCCAAAATAAAACACGAAGATTCGACTGGCTATCTCAGAAAAATTCTTAAAAATATGCTTTTCTATAGATAAATACAATTTTAATTTTATTCATTTTTTCGGCGTTTAAAGTAATTTATAACGTTCACGTTTTCACATTATTTAATAAATTTAAGAATGAGCTAAAAATTCCTTATTACGTTGAATATTTCTAAAAGAATAAAAAATTTCTTTCAAATGGGATCACTGCTATATTATTAAACACTTTATAATCCTTTATCTCATTGTAAGTTGTCCAACTACATAAAGAGAAAATTTAAATAATAGGTTCATGTGAAAACAAGTTTTATTTAATTTTTTTTTTCAATTTTGTCCATCTGTCGTCTAGGACTCTAGGTCGCGCGAGACCTACCAAATTGCAGTGAACAACTTGGCGCTTTTTTCGATTGTTGGTCTCTGATTGGTTGATTCGCCGTGACGTCACGGCACAGAAATCGCAACAACGTTGTTCTCCAATCTCCAACCGCACACAAGCACACAAGAATTTTCCGTGAAGTTTGAAATCTGCGAAAGAATTTGAGTTTATCGTCACCTAAATCTCTTCAAATGGAAGCTGCAGGGTAGGGATCGAATAATATGATGTGTATACGTTAATTTGATCAAAAATGTTTGAATTATTTCAGAGGAAATGAACTTCGTCTGACTTTCCAATGCACATGGTTTGCGACGCTCCGGATTCCGCGGTTATGCTGGACACAAACATTTCCGTTCGCGAGATGATATTTCCGGCGGACTGCTGGAAGAACATCTTGCTCTTCCTGGTGTCGAGCAAGATTGGATTTTGGCAGTCCGTTGCCCGTTCTGCGACAATGTGAGGAAGGCCATTTACATCACTTCTCACATTCAAGGACATTGCGGCGCGCCAGCTGAGGATCGTGTGGGCCATCATGTCTCATGTTTTTCCGTAAGAAAACAAATTTGAAAATTTAATTATTGAATTAAATATGTTGTTTAATCTAGAGTGCACTTCTACAACAAAGATCGAGTGCAGATGACTGGTCTTAGTCAGGCGGCTGGAAACCAACTCAGCCAGCAAGTGGTATGGATCATTTTTTTTTTTTTTTTTTTGCTTAAATCTTAATTTAAGTTGAAAACTTCATTCCAGGAAAATTGTGATGTAGCTATAGGCAATCAAGAAATAGAGGTCCATGGTGGAACCGCTGATGCTGGAGCGGATGCTGAGGAAGGGCTGCCCGATGGTGCAGTGGACACCGAGGAGGGTATCACCGTGACCCTGGCTGATGGTGCTATGAGCGATGCTACCAGTGTGAATCTTGACTGATACATTCCAACTGCAATAGGTATTTTTCATACCTTATTCTTTCTTTTTCACAATAGAGAATGCAGAAACTTAATTTAATTGTATTCATTGCAGGATTCACGGAATCCTATATGTTAGTGGTGCAGCATTTGCAGATATTAAATGTGTTCATTCTGTTACTGGAGATTGTTATATTACTCACCAAAGTTGCATGAAAAATAAATTTCATTACCTAAAACATGAGTGTTTAAGTCGGGTTGCAATTTGTAAAGTCTCTGTCATTGCACATTGACCAGCTCATAAACAAATTAATACGTAAAGTATTTGAACTATTAAGAGTGTAAAAACTTATATTTTTTGTCAGGAGTTTATTCTTTATTTACACAACCATTAATTTATCATAACTAAATAAAATTGCACAGGCCAGTTCAGCAAAATTACAAATGGATTCTGATGTGACAAGAGGAAACATGCAATATGTTTTGTACTTGTAATGATAACACAATTTATACTGATTTTTGAATTCGAATGCTGACTTTAAGTGAGCATTGAGTGAGAGAAGAATTTGCACTTTTATGGTGTGAACAAATCACACAGACTTTGCGGCTGCTTTAGGAATTAGACGTGGTTCTTAATCTTAGAACACCAGTAACATCATTGCACTTATTTCCAGTGGCACAGAAGCTTAACAAATTTTAAGGAGTATATTCTGAAAATTGTGCTTATAGAGTAAAATTGGATGATCCACAGTTCTATGATTTAAAAATTTAACACCAATTTTTGGAAATTTCTAAAATTTGATTTGCATTTTGAAATGATAAATGTACACACAAATTATGCCTGAGATACGTATGTGAGAAAAAGGATTGCACTGAAAATGGCACTAACTGCATCAAAAACACCTGCGTTAAGCAAAACTATTGACAGATTTTAGGAATACACCATGTCCAGTTTGTGCTAACCAACTAGCCTTTTGCTTGATTTGTTAACTACAGGGGCAAAGAGTTAACTTTTCATGTAATTTAAAACAACAATGCAAAGACATGTCCATTTATCTGGTTATTTTAACCATTTTTATAACATTATTCAAACTTTAAGCCAAAAAGGTTTGTTGCACGATAAACTTTAGATCCAAAATTTAAAAGTAGGCTTGTATTTTGAGGATTCAGCAACTGTTTATGGCAACAATAAGTAATACGTTCATGATTTCCATTTGGCAAATCAACAAAGCACATTTTCAAAGACACTTATGGGACGGTATAATATTTAAAAACAAATTGAATGCTAATCAAAGACAAGTCAAAATCTTATAAACAATCTGCCAGACCTTACACATGAGAAGGGATTCAATATGTAGTAGGACAATAAGCTGCGGTTTGTTGACGGATGGTATTTACATAAAGCTGCACAATAGCATTATATAACTCGATAGGGAGATAGGGACATGTTTGACTCCCACAAAAATGATGGAGCTACCTTTGATAGTTGCCCAAATGCGCGCACATTAAAAATCAGTCTTTGAGTCCTATGACATAAAAATGCACCCTGATTGCCCAACATGATTCTAGGCGGGATTTCATTTTTCTTCGTTCAGCTGAGTGGAGTTTCCGTTCATTGCCACCTGGCCAATGAGTGAAGCCAGGTAGTCAGGATTCTCCTTTCTGTAGGCCACAAGATCCTCAATTTTGTCCAATAATTCTTGATAACTATCTTCGCAGACATCTATGTCGCTTTTGTTGTTGGCTCTGAAGCAAATATTAACACGATACAATAAATTTAAAACGTCTCTTTGAGAACATTATACCTTAATAGGGCTCGTACAAGTTCCTTCAAGTGTCTAGGCATCTTGTATCTAGTGAGAGCGTTGATGAAAATCTCCGGGCTCTTGGCTGGAATTTTGAACGCTGAGAATTCAACAACATGCACTCGGTTGTACATGTTGGTTTGCACATCTTCTTTCAGCGTTTTCAAAGCCAGCGGGAAAAATGAGTCAAACGACTCTTGCTCCTTGTATTCCAGTCTGGTGCCTTTCATCTGGGCAACGTGATGGGCAATGCCACATTCGGAGAGGACGATCACAACTGTGACCTCTGGAAAGAGCCCTTTGCCAAATGTTTTGTTCTTTCTGAGGAGCTCGAGCAAAAAGTCAGAGCCCTGCTGGTTCAAATCCTGCTCGTAAGACTCGTGATAGAGGTCAATGACCTGCAAAGGATTGAATTTTTCATAACGTAATTAAAACGTCGACTTTGAAGTTACCTCTCTTTTGCAACAGTCAGAGAGCATTTCTCGGAAGTGCGCCATCACTTCCATAAACTTTTCACAATCTCGAGCGTAGAGCAGCAAAATCTTTTGATTTTCCACAGAGAGCAGCGGTAAAGCAGTGTTTATGACGTCCGAGCCTCCTTCTAAAAAGTTTAATTCGTTTAAGGATAAAATCTACAGGCACATCAAAGAAAGCTACCTTCATCAGTTGGCTGGCCAGCCAAAAATCCTCTCCTCAACAAGAGATAGAAGTAGTAAAACAAAAATCCAAGCACAAACAGGATGACTAGTGCGAGAATCAACCAGACGTACCATTCTGGCGGGGCAGGCCTTGTGATTACCTCACTGGGTGGTACCACCTTTTCCAGGTCTTAAAGAGTAAAAAGTTGGCTTCAGAACGAAAGTGCGAAACTAAGACTTACATCCTTTGTGGTGCCAAATGCAGGACTGGGCATGAGGGTCATGGCCCAGGCTCCAGATGTCTCCAACAACGGAAGGACAACGGTCATCTTTAATTTCAACCTGAACACGCACAATTATTATTTATTTATTCTTTTAGAAAAATACAAAAAATTTTGAATTAGAAAAAAAGTATGTCTGAAAATTGGCATTATTTACTGAAACTTACAAGTACACAGTAATTTCCATTGAAATTGGTTGGCATGGTGCACTCAACTGAAGTAAAAGTTTCACCACTGTCCTGGAAATAAAAATAACAGAAACATAAAATTAGTTTAATGTTTCACAACAAATATCCAAGGCTGTAACTTACGAATTTACAATTTGTTGTCTTGTTCGGATCAAAGTGAGACGTGCACAGGAAAGTTGAGTCATCATCATTCTGGAAAAATTATTTCATCAGGAATGGTTTGTTATTTTTATTTTCTTTTTAGACTAACCATAATCTCGCAGCAGTTGTACTCGAATCCTGACCTGGTGCAAGCCCCGTCACCTCGAAGGTCAACCATCATTTTTAAGGAAATGGAGACAATTGTCGGAACCATATGCAAGGAGCGGTCATCGAAAGTGAATCTCGAGGTCATGAAGGCCGTGCCATTACTAAAAATAACAACTTAATAAACTGAATAAGAGCAATGAAGTTGTTTTTACATCAACTTTGGTGTGGTGTGAACTTTGGCCGTTGTGTTCATCAGCTCGACGTCAGACTTGGTCACTCCTGTGCTCAACACAGCTGGTCTCGAGAACACTGCCTTCTTGTTGCCTTCGTTGGCTCCACTTTTGTACGGAGTGATCGAGACAAAGTAGCAGCCATCAAAAACATGGTGGAATTCAACAGTGGCTCTCTGCAGAAGTACAAATTCAAACCACCAAAGGGGGAAAAAACAAGATTATCATACCTTCGGACACTGCTGTCCGTAGGAAGTTTGGTTGCTGGTGTGGTAGTTGCGCAGTGAGTGCCGCAGTGGTGTGACTTGCGAGTCTAGATCGTCGTCCAAAGTGTGATTTTCCGGATGGTAGATGGAGCAGTTTCCTTTCGGCACGCCGGTCAAGTTGACGTAATTCAGCTCGATGCTGTATCGCTGGAAGGTGCAGGGGTTTGCAGGAAAATCAAATTCGACCACGATGGAGCTTTTGTCTTGCAGCCTGACATCCAGACTTTTTGAGATTGTTTCCTCATATTCATCTAGAAATTATCAATAATTAATTTTAAGTTCAATAAAAAGTTTTAAGAAATGAGGGTGCTTGGCTTGGAAGATTTTTCCTTATTGAGAAAAAAATATGATTAAAATTAATTTATTATTCTTTTTTGAAAATTAAATTCAAATCCCAATTTGAAATCAACTTATGAATTCAGCCACTCTTGAAGCTTTTTATAGTAAAAAAGTCAAATATTTTTCAACCGGTTCAATTCATTATTTCAAAATCAGTTCAATAATTTAAATTACTTCACCTTTGGTGTTTTCATTTCCAGAGCAATGACATCGCAGGTGAAAGAAGTTCTCCCTTTGTTCCTACAAAAAAAGCAAAACATCAGAATATATTATTCAAGTCAAGTTGACTTTTGATTTGCACCGACCTTTGAGAATCCGTCGCTGCAGAAAGTGGCACCTGACGGCGAGGCGAGCGCGAGGAGCACGACAAAGTTGGAAATCAGCACTCTGAGCTTCATCTCGATGAAAAATTTAGCTGCGCATCGAGGACGAAATAAAAGCTGCTGTCTCTCCTGAAAACATTCAATGAGTGATGAGAGGCGTCGCTGCGAGGGCAAAAAGCCGGTGCGCGGCAGCTGCAATCCAGAGAATTCACAGAGGGTTTCTTAAGTTGGGAGAGCTTTTTGTCGCATTCGAATGTCATGCCTTGAGCACTCGAGCGCTCTTGTCACTCGGCTCGATCGAGTGTGGCGAGCACCGAGCAACCAGGGCATCAGAGAATAAAAAGCAGAGGCGATCAAGTAATTCTGACAATGACAAAGATTTTGCCGGCTCGTCCGATTCGTTGGCTGACTGATAAATTGCTTCAATTTTCAACGCTCAATCTGTGCAAAATCGTAAAAAAAAAAAGGATTTCAATGGACTCACAGCTAACGGCTTTTGTAAATTTTTAATTAAATTTCATTTTGACACAATATTTTTTTTAGAATCAACTAAGTCTCGCATTTTACAACTTACAACTCAGTTACTTCGTCATTTTTGCCATTAGTTTCCATACAAATCGACTGCAAAAAAAATTAGTGTTTTAAGATATTTACCGTTAAAAGCAGCTCTTTTTTAAAATGGAAATGAGTTAAATGTATGAAAATGATGCAAATAATTTTCACAATGTTAATTACATTGTGCCTCTGGCCATGATAAAATTTTTATGAAAACCCAATTAATTGCGAGAGAAGAGAATGGAGTTTATTAATATTATTTATCTCGCTTAAATTTTTCAACTTTTCAAAGCATTTTTAAATGAGAAGAAAAGAGCACCGGAAGGAAACTTGGTAATTACCGGAAATTTCTTTTCTCGGCCTATAACTTTGGCAAAAAAAAAAAAAATATGAATAAAAATTAAAAAAAAAAATCAGTAAAAATTGACAAGAAATCAAAACCAACCCATTTATGACGGCATAAAGCCATTTTTTCTCTCCTAAATTTTATGTTATTCTTTTTTAATTTGGTTTAAGAAAATTTATTGACAAAAAAATTAAATACATAAATGAAAACAAAACAGGCAAAATTTTTTGAGGACATTTCCTCCTTCAGAGATTACGAAGTGGAATTTAACTTTGCTCATTTTGAAAATATATTATCACGGGAGATAAGCAATGGTTACGAAATTAGCAGAGCATATAAAAGTAAAATTGAAATTCTCATCTGAGACTAATTTCTCCTGCGCTTTCAAACAAAACAATCAATTAATCTTGAACTCCATCGTCTTAATAATAATTAATAATAAATTCATCATACTTTTTCTTTCAACAAATTTTTTTTATTGCAAGCCCTATGATCTTCTCCCCCCTGCAATTTCGTTGATTGTTACTTGTCCATGCTAATTTAGTCATTATTCATTTGACGTCACATACAATTTGCAAAGGTTACATAAATAATTCATGTGCGCAATAACCAAAATCTGTTTTAAATTTGACATTTGATCCAAAATTTAAGCCCCATTAATTCAGTCGTCGTTGATAATTCATGCACTGTCCATCAGAAAACAGCCCACATTAAATTAAATATGTTTGAACAGAAGGTCAGAGCCGAAAATCAACACTGGATAAATTAATTCGCAAACAACATTTCACGAGATCGCCAAAAAAAATAAATGATACGGGCTTTGGAGCGAAACCGGTTGCTGCGATGGAATAGCACGAGACAATTTTAGAGCGCAGATGCCCTCTCGCCAATTCACAGGCGTGTGCGAGTTAGAAAAAAAATGCAAATTGGCCACCGAGGACTAGATTGATTACTGCGAGTACTTTAGAGGGGCGTTTCCCGCGAACCGAATCGACCGAAAATCGGCTCGTTCGCGTTCAAATTCGGCCTGAACGACCGCGATCAAGTCGAACAAACTGGTTTGCCGTCGTGATTAGCGCGGTGACGGAAAGAAAAAGCAGGAAACAAAGCGTTTTATTTCAAAACGGGCCACTCGAGTGGCTGCTTTCCGCACGCGATTTTTACCTGCGAATTTTGATAGGAACTCCGCCTTTGGGCGGCTGAATCACATCTTCAGGGTGTCCGGCGACTGCAGGACTGTCCGTGATCCTCTTAAGGTGGCGTTTGTCTTGAGGAAACTTTCTAATGATCACCGATGGCTGAGGAATGGTCGCGAGAAGAAGGACATCAAAACAAGATTTTGTTGTCAACAGGCGGCCCGAATCCGGCGTTCTGATTGGTCGAGCCGTCGTTCGGCGACGGTGGCGCCGCAGGTGGAGGTGAGGAAATTCGCAGCTGGGCGCTGTAAACAAAAGGAAGGCAAATAATTCTCACGTGGGACAACAAAACATAAGGATTTGTCTCCGTTTTAGCTCCAGTTGGCTTAAAATTTAGGTAAAAGCAAAATTTTACAATACTTACTTAAATTATTCATCAAAAATTACCAAAATCATAGTTTAACCTGTCCAGAAATTCGTCATTTATTATTTAATTTTATGTAGGCAAAATCATTGGAATAATTTTAATTATGTTCCTTTTTCATTAGAAATAGGGCACTTATAGATAAATAGTAAAAGACCATAAATTCATCTCAAACATTAGGAGAAATTTAAGTTTCCTATAAAATATTAATGGATTTTAAATTTTACAGGCACTAAATAATGGAGGAGGAAGAGCAGAGCAAGTTGCCGACCTCGACGGAGCCGGTGGACAACGCGTGGAGTTTGAAACTGCCCGAGTTCAAGGCCGGAGACATGAAGGCTAGACTGTTGGAGGAAAGTTCGTTCGCCACCCTGTTTCCGAAGTACCGAGAAAAGTACCTGAAAGAGTGCTGGCCGCTGGTGACCAAGGCCCTCGAGGAATTCGGCATCACCGCCAATCTGGACTGCCTTGAGGGCAGCATGACCGTCAAAACGACGAGGAAGACGTGGGACCCGTATCTGATTGTCAAGGCCAGGGACATGATCAAGCTGATGGCCCGCAGCGTGCCCTTCGAGCAGGCGGTGCGGGTGCTGCTGGACGACATCAGTTGCGACATCATCAAGATAGGGTCACTGGTCAGGAAGAAGGACAAGTTTGTCAAAAGGCGGCAGAGGCTGATTGGACCGAACGGTTGCACCCTCAAGTCAATTGAGTTGCTGACCAACTGCTACGTCCTGGTGCAGGGACAGACGGTGGCCGCTCTCGGACCATACAAGGGTCTTCAGCAGGTAAAATAATACAAATCTTAATTTTTTTTATTAAAAAAGTAATGAAACAAATATTTTCAAAGCTGTAATTGTATTGTTAAAATTTATTTTGAGGTTGACTTGCAAAATAAATTTAATGTAAAATATGTGATATTTATTAAAAATTTTTCTTAATTTTCCATAAAATAGACATTTAAGACAGTTAAATTCTTCAAGAATTAGAAGATGCGACAATTTTCATGGTGCTTTTGCTGAAAAATCTATTAAATTTGAAATAATTCCCAAGAGTTTTTTATTCAATTATTAGCGGTTTTTTTTTTTAATTTTCTCTTTGATGGATGTTTAGTAATTTTACAACCCTCAAACCAATGAATCTATTTTTAAAAAAAGGAATAAAAAATTAAGACACCAACAAAAATCTATTTATCTCTGCAATAATTACAATTTAGTTAGCAATTTTTTTTACATTTTCAGTCTAAGAATTTAAATGAACATCTTATTAAAAAACAAATTAAATATCTATTTTTCTTTTTTTATTATTATTATTAATTATTCTTTTTTTTTGAAAAGGTGAGGAGGATTGTCGAGGACACAATGAACAACATTCACCCAATTTACAACATCAAGGCCATGATGATTAAGCGTGAATTAATGAAGGACCCAAAACTCAAAAATGAAAACTGGGAACGCTTCCTGCCGCAGATCCACACCAAAAACCTCAGCAAGCGGAAGCAGCCCAAGAAAAAGAAGGTCAAGAAGGAGTACACGCCGTTCCCGCCTCAACAGCCAGAGAGCAAAATTGACAAGCAACTCGCTTCGGGTGAATATTTCCTTAACGAAGCGCAGAAACGGGCGAGGAAGAGGAAGGAGCGGGATGAGAAACACGAGGAGGCGGCCAAGAAGCGGCAGGAAAAGAGGCAGCAGGCGTTCCAACCCCCTGAGGAGCCGTCGACCAGCAAAGCACCGCCGGTCAAAAGTGATGACAAAATCGACGTCGAAGCTTTTAAAAATAAACTGAAAAAGTCGCAGAAGAAAAAGCAGAAATTGGCTTGATGTGTTGAAACTATTGGATGTGAAAATGTTGAATAAAATTGGACGAGTTTACGTATAATTACAATGAATTTATTGTCATAAATTTAGCTGTAGACATTTACAGTGAATCGATAGTGTTTGCTTTTTTCCGTTATGTACAAATTTTAACAAATTGCGAGTGTCCTCCCGATGTAGTTTTCCCAAAGACACTGTCAATCTCATTTCACGAGGAATGTTTTAACTGAATCACATATCAGGAAGCTGAATACAAAAGTGTATTGTTCACTCTCTTTAAGTACTTACAATTACATTCTCTCTCTTTTCTCAATAATACTCTCGTCACAATTTGATTTTCCTTCTTTGAATACTGACTAAAAATAAGACGTCATTCTTGAGTAATCGATTATTATTATTGTCCGTGTGTGCCGACTTCAGAGCACACGACATTCAGTGGCACATGATTATTAAAAAGTTCCCAATATTTAATACTTTATGTCTTAAAAAAAAACCAAGGCTGTGTGCCAATTGAGGAATTGTGCCCTGCCACAATAGGGGAAAGCATCTCTCTTGCCGAAATTTAATTGGCCCCAAGTTGTGCAAATGAAAGTGAGCGAGAAAAATTAATCAACCGTAATCAACTAACCCCGTGTATTGTCTGTGATTCGCTTGAGAATGTCATCATTTGGCCCTAATTGTAACAAATATAAGCAATTTCGTGCGCAGATAACATTGAGACTTAAATTTTAAACAATCAAGTTTTACCCTTTTAAACAGGCTTCTTTTAAAACCAAGAAGTCTTGCAACTCTGCAGCGGATGCAGATTTAATTAAAAAAAAATGCCTCTCGGCACATAGAGTGATGTCTCCATTATTTACACAAAACGCAACAATTTTTCAATCAATAAGTCTTTTTTTCAATATAAGAGAGTTATAGACACAATATGAGAGTGACTTGCGTGATAAATTACGAGTCGCAATTAATTTTCTCACAACAAGCAGTCAACCGGGCCTGCGTCTTAAAACGACGCAAAACCTCACTCGCACAATTTTTTTATTACTTTTTTTTCAATCACGCACCACATCAAAAAATTTCTCTCCATTCAACAAGAATCAGTTTTTCAAAAGGACATAACATTTAAAGAGTATTCTCTCAGCCTAATACTTTTTGCATAATCTCTCGTGTCAATTGTGTGTTTGTGTGTTGGTCAACAACTAAAAAAAAATCAGCGCAGTACAAAAGTTTATCACGACCGGTTGAGGGCGAATTTCCACCTTTGACTTTGGGCTTCGTGATCACAGGGCTCGACAGTCAGACCCTGACTTCGGACACTTCTCGAGTCAATGCACAGGTTGTAGGAAGCGTGGCGCAGCATCCCTCTATCACTGGGCCTGTGCCATTTCTGGAATTGGGAAGGGAAAAATTAATATTTTTTTCAAAATCATTTATTTTAATATTACCTGGAGAGACGAATTTGTGCAAGGTCTTAGTCTTAACGAGGAGCCGGGCTCGGAATGCACCAAAGTGACACACAAGTCGTGGTGCTTGATCAACCCGGTTTGGGTAAATGCCCATTCCTGAAAGAGACGGAAAAAAATTAATTAAAAATTAAAAAAAAAAAAAATTATTTTGCAGTCAGTTAAGTGCTTCTGCTTGAAACATTAAAATAACTATCAAATTAATCATTTTTTTTAAATTATTTTTAATATTTAAATAAACTGCGATAAAGATTTAAGATAAGTATAATTTTACCAATTTTACCATTTTTTGCAGGTTAAATTTAATTCAAAATTTCTTATTTAATATTAAAATTAGTTTTATGGTATAATATTTTAATCTAATTTTTAGTTTTAATAAATAAATTTGAAATTTTAATGGTTTAATTATTAATTATTCTACATTTTGTTATTTCATACAGATTTTATTTTTAATTGAAAAAATCACCTGATTTCCACCACTGTCGTGGCAGCTGAAAAGACCAACAGTTCCATCGAGCAAGTGTCCCATGGTGTCGAGGCACATGAAGCCTTGCTGGACCGAGCCGAACGCGATGTCCATCGAGTCGGGGACGGTTAACTCGGGGTACACGTTCTCCAGGTACCACTTGAACGGTTTGCACTGCAGCCTCTCCCGCAGCTCCAGTCTGCTTTGCAAGCTAAACACAAACATATATTTAATTCATACGAATTTTGTTTGCTTTCGCCGGCAACTCACTTTCCGAAGGGGATGTTTTTGGCGAGTGGAACGGCGGCGTAGTAGAACTGTTTGTAGTCGTCCATCCAAACTTCGGCGGCGCGTCTCGTGTTCCTGGCAAAGACGTTGCCGCTGCCCCCAGGGAAGGTGTACGGATGCTGCTTGCGGAAGACGTGGCCAACGCGGCTGCACGGGATTATTTCCAGGCTGCCACCGCACTGCCACACTCGGAAGGAAATTTCTGAGACATTAAATGTTAATTAGAGGCTAAAAGGTCAAGAGTGATATTTAAGATGGAAAATTTCAGCTAAATCAAAATGATACACAAATCTGAAATAATAAGATTTGCATAAAAAGTCCTCTCTTAAAAATTCCTCTTTTAACATATAGAGAGGAATTTTAAAATTTTTCCAATTCTTGTAGCTTCATTATTATAATTTTATCAAAAATAATGAATCAGCCAAAATAGAGGTGATATAAAATGCCTCTGCATTTTTTGAATAATAAATTTTATCTTCTGTATTCTGTAAAAAAGTTGCAAATGTGAAGATTATTTTCAATTTTTATGTTTTTGGGTTGCATTGAATATTTTTTTATTTGGTTATCATTAAAATTTTATAATAAGTTCAATTTAAAAAATAAAAAATTATTTTTTCTCCGTGAAAAAAAAAGAAAGGTTAGCCAATTTTTGAGTAGATCAACTATTTGAGCTTGCCATTGACCTGCAAAACCTGTAGATACTTTTTAAACACAGCTTTTGCTTTAACCTTTGCGGCTTTCCAGTGATTCACAAGCATGTCAAATGTGACGCCAATGATGGCAAATGAGTTGGAAAGGCAGGCGTCTCGCGAAATTGCTCATTCAGAATCACCTTAATTGGTTTGCGCAATGTAAGAAGCCGTACGCCAGAATTATTCAAAGCGCGCGGCATGAATGCGAGGAGGAGCAGCTTTTCGAGTTGACGCGAAAAGCACTCTCGTCGCACAGTTGACTCTATTGACCGTGACATGACACACCGCGCCGTGTTGAAATCGGGCTTCTGCATAAAACCTCCCGATTGAGCAGTCGGCTCAAAAATTTAATCAAATATAAAATCTAATGCGAAAATTACAAACTTTTAAGTGGGGGAAAAAAATTCATTTTTATATTTTTAAAAATATTTCAAGTGGTTTTGAGCAAAAAGTCGGATTTTTCAAATCATTCAGAAGTAAAATTGATCGGGTCAATTTTAAGGAAGACTGAAATTGTGCCTTAATTTCTAATTTTTTTGAATAAATCAGATGAAATTTCAATTTTTTTAAATTTTTCTTTGCTATTCAGCATGTTGAGAAAAAAAATGGTAATAGTGTGCAATTAAGGATGAGTTGCAAAATGATAAAAAAAGTCGTTATGAAACGCTGATTACGAAAATAAAAAACGCGGAATTAAAAAACCTTAATATATGTTTTAGAAATTAAATAATGAGCATTTGGAAAAATAAACATTGGAAGCACAAAACATAATTTTATTTTAAGTGTTGAGCGGGTTGCATAAATATTTACTGTTTGGAATTCAAATAAAACCAGTAGTAAAAAGTGTGAAATTTTTAAGCTTGAAAAGTTGGTTAATTGGAAGCTGAAGCAATGAAAATCTGATTTTATTTTTTTTTCATCAGATTTTAGCAGGAATCACACGCGGTGACCACTAAATTATTGCTCTTTACAAAATCCCCGCAGCAGGTGCTTGCCCGTGAATTTGAGCAACGCGTTATGGTCACGGTCATTGCGGACCGTGATTCACGCACCGAAAACTCGCTTGAGTTGTTTTATGTGTTTATTTATTTTCATAACGAGTAAAAATATGTATTTTTTTTCGGGGCAAGAACCTTACCTAAGTTTTCGCCACCCCAAACGTCCATGGCCATGTCGTACTTGCCGAGTTTCTCAAAGTACGCTTTGTCAATCACAAAGAGTCCGCCGGCGATCATCGGTGTTCTGCAAGAAAAACAAATCGTTTGGCAAAATAAACAGAGGAAAATAAATAAATAAACGGTTGACAAAACGTTGCTTATTTTTACCAGTCTGTATCAAAAGCAATTTGAACGACCTGGAATTTTTATATCATAGCAATGGTGGAAGTAAATAAATTTGGAGGAGAACAAACCTGATGGCCGTGCTTGGGTCCTTTTGCCTCCTGGCCCTTTCTTCGCTCGACAGGTATTCCCATTTGAAAACGAGGTTCCAATCAAAACCACCTCGTAAATCAGAAGACGCTCCGATGTACTGGAAGGAATCCATGCTGATGACGTCAATAATGGGACAAACAACTCTGGTGTTGTCCTAGAAAATAGCAAAGAAACATTTAATAAAAACAGGACATAAATCTAATTTTAATTTAATTTAAAATTTATCAATTTATTTTGAGCAACCGTTTAGCGTGCGTCAATTAACTTGGACACAATTTTGCAGGGAGTGTGCAAGACCAAAGAATTGTGAAAACTCCCAAAACTAGAAAAATAGCAGAATCTCCAAATCTGACAAATTTTCAAAGACAAAATTCCTGCTCCTCTGTTAAAAATGTACAATAAACATTACAATGGACATGACCAACGTTGGGAGTCTAAAATTTTGCTGTTCAAATTCAAAGTTGAATTACCATAAAATTGCAAACGTTATTTGCAAAAAGCTTACAAGGGAAAATTATTAGGTGCGTGACTGCGATTTTGATCAAATTTGGCATGTCAATTAGGATCCTGAAGTAGAGTGCAGAATTAAATTATTTTATAGCTGCTGAAATGCATTTTTCACCCCAAAAGAAGGTTTAAAGATTGCCATTAAAATAGATAATAACATTATTTATTATTTCAAATTTAGTACGAAATTGTGGTAACAAATTTTGGTAGCACAGTGTGGGGCCAAATTGTGGTACCACAGTGTAGGGCCAAATTGTGGTACCACAGTGTGGGGGCAAATTGTGGTACCACAGTGTGGGGCCAAATTGTGGTACCACAGTGTGGGAGCAAATTGTGGTACCACAGTGTGGGGGCAAATTGTGGTACCACAGTGTGGGGGCAAATTGTGGTACCACAGTGTGGGGGCAAATTGTGGTACCACAGTGTGGGGGCAAATTGTGGTACCACAGTGTGGGGGCAAATTGTGGTACCACAGTGTGGGGCCAAATTGTGGTACCACAGTGTGGGGGCAAATTGTGGTACCACAGTGTGGGGCCAAATTGTGGTACCACAGTGTGGGGGCAAATTGTGGTACCACAGTGTGGGGCCAAATTGTGGTACCACAGTGTGGGGGCAAATTGTGGTACCACAGTGTGGGGCCAAATTGTGGTACCACAGTGTGGGGCCAAATTGTGGTACCACAGTGTGGGGGCAAATTGTGGTACCACAGTCTGGGGGCAAATTGTGGTACCACAGTGTGGGGGCAAATTGTGGTACCACAGTGTGGGGGCAAATTGTGGTACCACAGTGTGGGGGCAAATTGTGGTACCACAGTGTGGGGCCAAATTGTGGTACCACAGTGTGGGGGCAAATTGTGGTACCACAGTGTGGGGGCAAATTGTGGTACCTCAGTGTGGGGGCAAATTGTGGTACCACAGTGTGGGGGCAAATTGTGGTACCACAGTGTGGGGGCAAATTGTGGTACCACAGTGTGGGGGCAAATTGTGGTACCACAGTGTGGGGCCAAATTGTGGTACCACAGTGTGGGGCCAAATTGTGGTACCACAGTGTGGGGCCAAATTGTGGTACCACAGTGTGGGGGCAAATTGTGGTACCACAGTGTGGGGGCAAATTGTGGTACCACAGTGTGGGGGCAAATTGTGGTACCACAGTGTGGGGCCAAATTGTGGTACCACAGTGTGGGGCCAAATTGTGGTACCACAGTGTGGGGGCAAATTGTGGTACCACAGTGTGGGGGGCAAATTGTGGTACCACAGTGTGGGGGCAAATTGTGGTACCACAGTGTGGGGCCAAATTGTGGTACCACAGTGTGGGGGCAAATTGTGGTACCACAGTGTGGAGCCAAATTGTGGTACCACAGTGTGGGGGCAAATTGTGTGGTAGCAAATTGTCGTACCACAGAGTTTGAGTTTGTCTTTAGAACAGATGATCAAATTATTTATTATCTCAAATTTTGTACGACAAAGCGTTTTTTTTTACCCCTACAGAAGGGTTAAGTTTGTCATTTAAATAGATGATGAAAAATTATATTTTATCTATTTTAATGGCAAACTCAAACCCTTATGTAGGGGTGAAAAATGCATTCCAGCAGCTAATAATTTTATTCTGGACTCTACTAGAGAATTCTAATCGACATCCTTTCATATTTAATCAAAATCGCAGTTAGGCACCTAAAAATGTTCCCTTGTTAGTAAAAATTGGCAAGAATTATTACGGAAAGGTGAAAAAAATGTGTTTTTCTATTAGCTTTTATTGAGAGAAAAAAAAACGCTTTAAAGATTAAAGACAAAATTTATGGTCCTAAAAGTGATTTTCTTGGCATTTTTCTTTTGTTCATTGTGACCAGAATTCAAAAAGGTTCATATAATCAGTGGTTACCTGTGTTATTTCCATAAATTTTTCGATTGGCGAGGAACAGTGATCAAAACATTTGGAAACTGTAATTTCAGTAGTTTGAATAGAGTTTGAGCTTCTCAACTATTCTGTAAGTCTGAACTGTCTGCAGCTTCCTTACTTATTAAAAATGAAATTAGAGTTTAATTATTTATATTTATTTACGCGGCACCAATTCAACTTTCTTTTTTTTCCACCTTTTGCTTGCCAAAATCCAACAATGATATTGATTTTTGTCATTTAATTTATTTTTAAAATTATAGTTTATTATTTATTGAACCGTATTAATTATTTTTCTCTTTCACAGACCACCCCTTTTGTTGAAGGGATGAATATCTATCAGAGGCGAAGAATTAGTGATACTGACCTCAGCCACGCGCTCCAAGAGGGGCTCGAGCCAGTTGGCGTTGCACTCGCAGTGGCTGTCGAGGAATGTGAGGACCGAGGCCGTGGCAGCATCCGCTCCTTTCACGCGCGACCGCATCAGCCCTGAAATGAATCACCAAGCCAATTGTCACCGCAATATTCCGACGCGTTCTAATCTCTGGTCCGACGCGAATTTCATGCTAAACTCGGTTGACGGCCGGTCCGAAAGAGACAGACAGAGGATGATGCCCGCTGAATGGGAAAATGTGTCCGCTCTGATTTTCACGACAGCTGCGAAACAACGGATGTGTTTGTTGCTGGCGTGAAAAATTACCCTCATCAAGATTAACATGGGAGTTAGACACGTGACGCCGGAACGACTTTATGGTAAAATTAGTGACAGTTCCGTGCTCATCAAACTTTAATTTACAGAAAATAAGCAAATTATACAAATGAGAAATAATTTAAGTTAGTTGTTCTTGTGGAAGTTTATAATACACAAAATACCGTTCATTTTTTTCAAAAAGGAATTTTCAAACAGTTTAAAAAAATAAAACAACTCGAGAACCAAATATCTGCCTAATAACTTTAATGCAATTGTTTTGTATGATTAAGAATTTTATTAATTTTATCCTTCTAAAAAAAACAATACATATTGAAGAGTTTAAAATTTACAAATAAAAACATTCAAGTTCAACAAATTTGAGTCATATCTGTTAAAACTGTTACCGAGCAATTTCTTTCTCATAAATATTTTCAAATCTACTTTTTTTGCTCATAACCTGCTTGTCTAAAATTATTATAAAGTTAAAAGAAAAACTTCACAATCATTTGAAGTAGGTTGGCAAATTAATATTAAAGGATTGTTTGAAAGTTTGGTTGAAAACTTTAAAATAAACGTTTTATGCAGTATAGATAGCAAAAAATACTGGCCAATTTTTTTTTTAATTCGGGAAAAATTCAAAGGAATCCGGATTAATTTTGTTTAAATTGTGCTTCAAGATTTTGAATATTCACCCCTTTGAAAACATTATTTCTTTAAATTTCTTGGCGTTAAAAAATTCAGACTGATCCATATGAAACAACCTCCAATTCTAAGCAAAATTGTAAGTAAAATTATTTCGCTAATTTTGTTTAATTAGTATTGACTATAGTAAGCCTAGCATGTTAATCTAATGGCTTAAAATGATAGGCTTAGTAGAATGATCTGTGACCGATCGGCACACTGAACCAATGACAAACGTCCGAACAGCTGCTGCGTTCTAAATAATTAATCGCCTTTGAACGTGCGGCTCGTGTGCGAAGTGCAGTCGAGGGAAATGAGCTCTTGAGGTGTAAAGTGTTCTTGGCAGAGGCAAGAATAAACTACAGTGCGCGGTATTTTAAAATAAATGTACGCAGTCGATCGTTTTCGCGTCACCCGGCGGTACTTTACTTTGTAATTCTTCGCGACAAGGGTCTCGAGCGGGGAAAAAGAAGTGCTCAGACGAGAGGGTCACGATGGGCCGATAAAAGTTGCGAGTTTGTCACATTATCGAGAGAGAGAGAAAAAAAATGAAGTGCTGACCTTAGTCAAGCCTACATTCTCACCTTCTCTTTTGTCGTTGCGCAGCACCTTGACCTTCTGGATTTTGGCGAGCTCTTCACCGTCGGTTGCTGGAAGCAGAAAAAGATCAAATTATTTTTAAAATATTACAAAGTGCAAATCCAACATAATGAAATAATCCTCAGAATTTATAACAGGATAATAATATAGTTGTTTATTTTATCAAATAATTTTAATTAGTTTTTTTTAATTATACATTTTATTGTGATTACACGTGTTAAAATTTTATGTTTATTTTGATATTTATTTTTTAGTCATATCTTCAATTAAACTTTAAATTTTGTTAAAAAAAATCAAAATCATAGATTTATGCGCCAACAAATTGCCAGTTCTTATATAAATGAATTTTTTAAATTTCGGAACAAATTAAATTGGTGACATGAGTCAAATAAGAACTTGAGACCGGTGTGGAACGGAGTAGCATGAAATTGAGAAATATTGTAGCATAGGAAGTAATCAAAATCTGTTGTAATAAAATAATGTGAGATCTTTTTTATTTCATAAATTGAGTTCCGAATGTCAAATTTTAGATCATACGATTCAATATTATTCAAAATTGTCCATCGAACTCAAAATTTCAATCATTACTAAATTCGACTGGAGTATTTCAAAGTAAGTCCATATTTTAGCCAAATAATCTTTTCGATTCACTCCTAAACCTCCGTTTTGCTTTTTATTGTCTGCAGCCGAATCGGATTTGCATTTCCCGTGCGGCAAAAGTGAGTAGAGCTTGTCATTCGCTGAGCCGTGCGCGTTTTTGCTCGCGGACGTCAATGGGAGAGCGATAAAGCTAAATATGCACACGGTCGGCCGAAAATAATTTTTCCGCCCGCCGCGTGCATTCGCCGCTCAAACGGCACCGCACGTCCGAGTTAACGTTTTTTCAGTCGCGCGCGGCTGACGGATAAACAATGGTGACAAAAACAGCACCAGTCGTGCTAGTGACGGCCACCCTGGAGGTGTATTTTTTCACATGTCTACTGACTGGAATAACTGCCAGTTTGCTGTTTTCCCTCGAAATCAAAAGTGTATGAAACGTGCTATAAAAGTGTCACACGTTGTGCTGAAACTTGCAAAAAAAAAAAAATAGACATCCGACTGCCATGTGAAAAATATGATAAAAATTATATTATTTTAAGTTGAAATTAGTTTGAAGAGGGTTCTTTAAAACTAAAATATTTTTATCCATTTTTTTTTTATATTTTACTAAATATTCTGCAATTTTATGAATTATCCAATGTTTGACATTCATACGAAAATCTCCTCGATGTTTGTATGTTCGTTTCGTAATTGATTCTATTCTGATAATGGATCCTCCCAAATTGTACCATTTTAACTCAAAGTGAGCCAAATTTTTTACTTTCACGCAGTAAAAAAGAACGATTTTTTTTTTTAGATTTAGGAATAATTTCCTTGTTTATAAAATAAGTGCTGTTAATATTTTTAAAATGAAAAAATGAAGCTTACAAATTTCAATTTTTTGTTTTGTTATGTGGTGAATAGAATTTGAAAATAAAAGTGACGTAACACGCGGACTTTGTGCTGAAAAAACTTAGAAATGACTTTCCTACATAAATTATGATTATTCAACTAAAAATTTAGTTTCAAAAAGCCATTTTATTAAAGAGAAATAAGACAATTTCAAGTTGATTTTTTAAATAGGACGTTTTTTAATTCAATAAAACTAACATTAAATTTTCTCCCTTCAGTTTGCTCTTCATTTGAATGATTTGTTTGTTCAAAACAACTTTTAATGATTCCTAACTATTATCATATCTCTTCCCAAAAAAACTTTTCCTCATTTTTTTTTTATTTTACTCACAACTTCCATCAAATCAAATAACTAAATCAAAACTGCATTAGTCTGCTATAAAAGCCATAATGTCATAATTTAAAATTTTCGTGCCTCCCTGTTTTGCGAGGAAGAAACGGAGCGCGCGGAACTCTTTCCGTTTCCTTGAGCACGGCGATAAATAAACTCGACTAATTCAGCTTGTCGCATTTCCGAGCGAATAAAACACGAGAATAAATCCTCTTGAGCATGCAAGCGCGCCGCCCGCATCCATAAATCAAATTACCAAAATTATTTTCCGCGACGCTGGCCCCCATTTTTTCCAGCACGCCGTTTTTTTCCCGCACTCGCGCGAGATGCGAGCGAATTTTTGCCCAATTTTCCGCTCGGACTGTTTTCGCAACAAACGCCGCCGCCGCCGCCGGCCGGTGCCAATAATCGGGGCAGCCGGCGCGTGTCGAGCCGGTTGCATAAGCTCCCGTCGGCAGGGGCTCACGCGGAATTGGTAATTACACTGAAAAAGGGCGGACGAACGTCGATAAAATCCATCTCTGGGTGATGCCTTTTGTTGTCTGCTCTCTCCGGCCGATCAATCACGGCAAATAAAGTGCCAAAATAATGCGCTGGGAAAGTGGCGAGGCCGGAATAAAATGACAAAGACTTTTCCTTGTCTATTTTCACCACAGAGTTCCCTCACCTTTGACATACACAACGTTTCTTTGATAAGAAGGAAATGCCAAATTTAACGAAGAGGAGGAAATCTGATGCTATTCTAATGGCATGCCTAAATTCCTAATGCCAAATGAGTCACATGAACCTGCACGGCGGTACCAAATTGAAATTCAATACTTCTGTTGTCCCTCGTTATTGCTGTAATTTATATCCTATTTTTATTTTATTCAAATAAATCTATTTTAATAATCGAAAGCTGCGGAAAAATAATAATTCCGCAGGGATCCTGAGGCATTTTTCGATTGTTGCTAATCATTGTATTTTGGAGTCAATAGAGCTTCAGTAAAGGTCGAAAAAGGGCAATTTTTCTTCATTTTTATTCACATAAATGAAGATTGAGCATTAAAGGAATGAAAAATGTGGATTTTTTTGTCAATGAACTCTTCTTAAAAGAACTTTGCCTTTTCAAATACTTTTTTTTAAATTTTCTAGCAATTTTTATCACTCCAGGTTGAAAATTTTAAATCCATCCAGTCTTGCGTAAGTAAGGGAATTACGGAATAAAGAAGGTCTGAATTGTGCCAAGAAAAAATTCAATTCTATATAAAATATAAGTGTTGAGGACATGAAAGTGACTTGAAAACAAATCTTGAAAAATCACAGTTTAGTGCAAACGTTTTACCGAGGATTTTGGGAAAATTCAATTATGAAGTACAAAATAAAGTTCTACCCTGGAAACCAAATCAAAAGCCCGGCATTCAACTTTATTTGAAACTGACCACTTTTTAAATTTAACAGTTTTCCAACGAAAAAAGAGGCAACTCTGCACTAAACTCTCCAATCTTCACATAACATAATACTGAGTTTGCCAAAAAATCTTTTTTTAATTTTAGAATCATGGTTCAAAATTATAACTATATTTTAATTTAAACCTACAATCTTCCGGAATAAAATTTCCACAAATTTGCAAAATGTGAGTTGAAAATCCCCATCATGATCCAACGTGCGTTATTTCCACTTAAACCAGACATTTTCCCCAAAGAAAAATGTATATATGCAAATTTTGCCGTTCCATTTCTCCGGTGCGGGCCATAACTTCCGAGCGATTTATATAAAATTATGAAAATGAGCTCGCTCGCTCGTAGGCTTCTTCACACCGTGGCTCGCGAAATTAGATAAATTCCGAATTCTCCCCCAGAGCAGAATCTGCCGCAGCGAATTTTCCGTCCGGATAAATAAAATACCGCCAAGCCGGAGGCGCGCATTGGTGGTTGAAATCCGCAGCCTCTCTTGCGTTATTCGCGCCTCATATTTTCTGCTTGCCTACGTTCTCGGAGAAGAAAAGCCTCCGCTTTCAATTTCCTGCCGCGAACCGAGTGATCTCTCAATTCCGCAACGTAATTCCGGAGGAAAAACGCCAAAATATATATTATACGGAGAGGGCGAACGGGACAGTCGATGTGGAGCAGAAAAAAAAGAAAGGGAAAAAGACATGCCCACACACACACACAAGAAGTTATTGCCCCGACGACCCTAAAAACTGGTGCATTGTGTTCAACTGACTGCCGGCATAAATATTTAATGTCATGCGGTACCACCTTGTGAACTCGTCGCTGACTAAGTACGTCCGTACACGACCAGCCGCAAAGGACAATTTTTCATTTTTTTTTCCAAACAGGAAAGTGCCTTCAACGAACAAAGAACTCCTAGACTAGCAGCAGCGAAATAGGTTTAATTGTCAAGGACAGGTGAAAAATTCTTTTAATTCCAAAATGTGGCTAAAATATCAGACGAAAAACTTACAACATGTATGGAGTTGTTGTTAACCAAAATAATTGATAATATTAGATTATTGTGCAAGAAGTGTAAATATAATGAAAATAAGGTCATAATTATTTTATTTTTTCCTAAAAAATTATCGTGGCACCTATTTTTCAAGAAGAGCAAATCAATTTATTGTAAACAGTAATTTTAAATAATTTAATAATTCGATTAAAAGTTCTTAAATTTTTTTACTAAATATTGCCAAAAAGTAGCAAAATAAAAATTTTAATTATAATTAAAATTAAAACATTTTTATTAGTTAAAAAGCTCATCAGAAATATTTCAGGAACAAAATTGTCTAGAAAATCAAAATATATTCTAGAACACGTAGCCTAAAAATCTCAATTAGTGATTTTATTCTGTAAAAGTAAAAAAAACCCGTTGTTAGATTTGTCTATTTTGATCAGAATAACGCAATTCAAAGATCCTTGACAAAATTGATCAAAATGAAGTTTGCAGGTTTGCAGCGAATGAAACAATTGAAAAGAAAACTCTTCCATCGATATAGTAATTATCATTCCGTCGGAGTTGCCTGAAAGGTATGCATTTTCAATTTTGGCACCCACCTGTCCCCTGTATTTGGCACGCCGTTCTCTCTTTGTTTGCTTGGCGAGGTTAATCAACTGAATTGTGCCAGTTTTCTCTCTCATTCGTAGGCAAATAGGCGGACCGAACTATGTATGCGTAGAGTCGGGTGAATAGAATGGCGGAGTTTCTGGTTAATTTAAATTCGGTTCCATTCCGAGGCGAATTTGCATACGC